CACCAAGCTTCCCACAACGGAGATGGGAGGAGTGTGAACACAAAGGGGAATGCACCCAGAGACCAGGTGCCCCGAGATCCCCAGCCCCGTGTCTTCATAGAGGACCTCCCAGCACCGACTCCCTCCCAGCAAAACTCGCAGAGATCGCTGCAAACGTGCCTACGCCTGCAATGACACACGCTTCAGTCTCACATCATGCACGTTTAATAATACAGGAATTGTCACGACCCCATATTCTTTAATTTTCTCTTTCTTAAAGCAAAGGCTACAAGCTCCAACAGTGGGAAGAGATAGGAAATGAGAAACGGTTAACATCTGTGCAATGGAAACACACAGCTTCAACCTGGCCATCACATCTTTGTAGAAATAATGGCCAACGGAGGGGGTATTTGCAAGTCGAATCCCTTGGAGACAGATCTGTGTAGACATATTCGGAGAGACAAGGCCCTTTTGTCACCATGTTCTCCATACTTTGTCCTCAATTCCATCCGGACGGGTAAGCATTTCCACGGTGACTTAACTGATTGTTTTCGTTACAGTTGTTTACACGTAGATGAGCCTTCGCCTCAAAGCTGTGACTTATTTTTTATTGTCGCAAACTGTTGTTTAATATTCGCTAGGTGTTCGAACGTCCCGTTCTAGCCGCTGGGAAGAGTTAACGTCGCAGGCTTTCGACTGGTATTCTCTGAGCTTCACGGTTTGCCCCGGGTCGGGTCGAGTTTGGAACGTGAGGTTTCCCACCACTGCCAGGAAGGACGAATGGCTCGGTGTGCCTACTGTTTGTGTCAACCATGTGGCGGACGCTGGTGACCGGCTGCCATCTTCTGGATGTCTAGAGCCTTGGCTGTGTTCTAGACAAAGAACGCCAATAAAATCCCTGGGCGCGGAGTCCCTAATGAGCTCACCTAGGAGACACTCCCCACATCCGGTCCTCAATCACGGATGAAGCTTCACTGAAGCCCTCAAAACTCCTAACGTGTGTCCCTGGTTTCCCAAGGGCTGCTGTCCTTGAACTTTTCCCTGGGCCGGGTTGGCTTTGGGTTCTTTTGCTGTAATAAGTCACAGCTGTTGAGTATGCTCATACGCTGAGTCCTCAGTCTCCACTGTGATCACCCCCGGGGTAGCCATTGTGCCTTGTCAAGTCTTATCAATCTGGCCATAAAAGCCTGGGTAGTTTCTCTCCGAAGCCAACGTGCCCTATACCGACTCCATACACTGCTTCATCTAACCGCTCCGTGAGGAACCCAGACGCGACAATAAAAACGTAGTGGTCTGTGTGGCCATTCACTAGCACACACGCACGTATTGGTGTTCACTAAGGAAACGAAAAGGTAACACGAACAACATGAGACCGTGGCTGGTTGTGGGATGGTGGGAAAGTGGCTGAGGTCTGGCGTCGCGAAGACAGAGGTGATGGGATTCGCTGATGGCTTCCAGGCACCTCAAACACAACGTCTTTCACCAAACACACGCCTTAGCCCTTCCCTTCCTTCCCCCCACCTCAAACCCGGACACTGTCTGTCTTTTCTAAGAGAAATAGCAGGTTCTGTAGCCTTTAGAGAGGGAGCTTGGCTTCTCCCGCTCAGCCTGAGAGAATGGCCGAGGTGTACTGTCGAATGAGCAAAGGCGGGTGCAGCTAAGTGAGCGTCCCTTGGCCCATTTCAGTAAAAATGAACAGTGACCAGAAGACCCCGAGAGGAAACCCAGGAGAGTGAGAAGGGCGAGGACTCTGCAGCCGCCCTCACTGGCTCCCAACCCCGACTCTCGGGCTTCCTCATCGATTGCGCATCTCGGGGGAAATTCCGTAACCTTCCTGTTCCTTAGGTTTTCTCATCGGTAAGATGGGGGTAACATTACCTGCCACACAGACTTGTTGCAAAGGGTAAGCGGTGATGTGTGTAAAACATTCCCAATAGTGGCTGGCACACACTAATACCATGTGTCTGCTCACTCTTACTTTTTTTTTATTTTATTGATTTTTTTTTACAGAGAGGAAGGGAGAGGGATAGCGAGTTAGAAACATTGATCAGCCGCCTCCTGCACACCCTCTACTGGGGTTGTGCCCGCAACCAAGGCACATGCCCTTGACCGGAATCGAACCCGGGACCCTTGAGTCCGCAGGCCGACGCTCTATCCACTGAGCCACACCAGTTAGGGCTCACTCTTACGATTATTATGGGGCATCCATCACCATGGCTACATGACACACGCATAAGCACACAGAGTGTATGCATTCGGAGGACAAGGTGTGGACGACCGATAGGTAACAGACATGAGAACCTGGGTTGGAAGTGTAGATCATGGTGAGTAAAATGCCTTGAGGGACTCGGCGCGCCCGTGGAACGCATCCCACGTGAGAAAGCAATGACCGTGGGTGGGTCCTAGGAAGCACAACGGTTCAACAGATGGAAGACACGGGTCCTCTGAAGAAGAAGGGAAGGAGCTCAAGGAAACCAGGAAAGGACCTTCAAGCCAGAGAGGAGGGCAGCCGTGAAAGGCCCGATAACGGGGGTGGGGGATGGGGAGGGAAAGGGGCAGAGGGAGCTCAGTGAGACCTGCTTAAGTCAGCAGAAGGTGGCAGAGGCCATTAAAAAAAAAAAGTTTACTGATTTTGAGAGAGACAGAGGGAGATAGAGAAACATCTATGTGAGAGCACATCGATCGGCTGCCTCCCGCACTGGGGATCAAGTCCGCGACCTGGGCATGTGCCCTTGACCCAGAATCAAACCAGCAACCTGGTGCACCGGACGCCACCCAAGCACCTGAGCCACAGCGGCCAGGGCGACAGAGACCATTCCACTCCCCAGCTGTCAGTGGAGTGAAAGGGATGGGAGGGGGTGGGGGCAAAAGCAGACACAACAGCGACACAGAATGTGTCTGAGAGAGAAGGGAGACTGGCAGAGCTCAACGGGCACGTGGGGCAGAAAGGGACTTGAACGCAGACATCGATTACGAGGCTAGAAGGGGATAAAGAGGGAAACGTTAAGGACCAAGCAGTGGGGGCGTAAAAGCAAGCGGGGGTCTTAGACCAACTGGGGAGAGGTGGCAGTGTTCAGCCTGAGAGGGAAGAGCGATCCTGGAAGAGGGCTGACCCCTTCTCCTCTGAGGCTGGAACAGGTTTAAAGAGCCGGGGGGAGGGGTGGGGGCGGTTTCACAGGAAGCTTTCCTGGCGAGCACAGCTCTGGACGCTCAGCAGATCGCCTCTATCGTCTTGTTCTTAAGAAATACTTGTGGACGGACACCGACGTGGGGGACTCCAGGCCTTCCATTCCTCCCGAGAACCATGGCTTTGGACTACTGCGGTCTGGCCTGTGTCCTCGGAGTCCTTCCCCGGCATTATGAACGAGCAAAGAAAGAGAAGATGTGTAAGAGGACCAAATGAAAATTAGACGATGGAAAAATTCAAAACTCAAACTCACTGGGTGAGCTCAACGGATGAGATATGAGAGAGACAAGAAATCAGGGAGCTGAAAGAAAGATAAAAGGGAATTAATCAGCCTGAGGGACAGGGAAAAACAGATGGGGGGGGGGGGGATGTAGAGGCGAGCCTGAAGGACTCAGGGGCAAACACAAGAGATCTACAGTGCACGTCACTGAAGTCCCCGAAAGGAAGGAGAGAGTGTGGGGTTGAAGGAAGTATCTGAAGAATTAATAACTAGAAAGTTCCCAAATTTGGCAAAGGGCCTACACCAACAGATTCGAAAAGCCGAGCAAACACACAGCATGAACCCTCCCAAACGTCATGCCAGGCGACATCCTAACCAAACGTCTGGACTTTATGTGCAAAGACAGAACCGCTCTGAAAGCAGCTCCACAGAAAGGGGTCACTGCAGAGGGGAACCCTGGGCCCAACGGCGGCAGATTCCGCAGCTGAGACCAAGGGAGACAGGAAACAACATGCTTTTGAAGTAGTCAAAGCGCCGATCCCAAATCCTAGATCCCACAAAAACATCCTTGGAGAATAAAGGGCGCATAACGACATTTAAAAAAATATATATTTTTATTGATTTTTTTACAGAGAGGAAGGGAGAGGGATAGAGAGTTAGAAACATCAATGAGAGAGAAACATCGATCAGCTGCCACCTGCACACTCCCTACTGGGGATGTGCCCACAACCAAGGTACATGCCCTGGACCGGAATCGTACCTGGGACCCTTGAGTCCGCAGGCCGACGCCCTATCCACTGAGCCAAACAGGTCAGGGCGACATTTTTAAATGAAGAAAAACGAAACCATTTGTTATCAGAAAGACCTACCCCAGAAGGGATAGGAGTTGGTGAAAAAGAAAGGAAACATTAACAGGAGAAACCCTGGGATTTCAGGAAAAAGGAAAGAACACGGAATGGGTAAAAGTGAAGGTGAACAGGCTGCTTCTCACGAGGTTTGTAAAAATGGTTCAAAAGATGGAACAAACCAATCACCAAGTAGGATGCTCAGTGTCTGCAAATACTTAAGACAGTTATTTTAAAGGACGCGGAGTGTACGGTGACTTTGTATATACCCTTCTGGTCCCAGGATTGTGGCCAGAGGGATAGGACGAAAAAAAAAGAAGGAATGGGGAGTATGAAGGGACCCAATGAAAATGAGGTTTCTACACCTCAAAGGGCTCAAGTGCTGATGGTGTAGCTGTGCTGTCACGCACATACAACACCTAGAGTGAGCGCTACAACACGGAGAGATCTACTCAACCACAGCATAGATGTGTCATACAGAATTCTCAACATTAAAGTAACCACGGGAAGCCAACACAACAACAGGGAGCAACAAGAAAGAAACAAAAACAAAATCGTAAAATGGCAGACTTAAGCCCTAACATATTGAAAATAATTTTAAATTTAAATGGTCTGGCCCTAACTAGTGTGGCTCAGTGGATAGAGCGTCGGCCTGCGGACTGAAGGGTCCCAGGTTTGATTCCGGTCAAGGGCATGTACCTTGGTTGCGGGCACATCCCCAGAAGGGAGTGTGCAGGAGGCAGCTGATCGATGTTTCTCTCTCATGGATGTTTCTAGCTCTCTATCCCTCTCCCCTCCTCTCTGTAAAAAAAATCAATAAAAATATATTTTTTAAAAAATTTAAATGGTCTAAATATATCAATTTAAAACCAGAAATTAGTAAAGTGGATAAAAAGAAAGCATGGCCCTAGTATATGCTATTCACAGAAACTTACTTTAAATGTGATGACATATAGATAAGGTTGAAAATGAAATTACGGAAAAATATAAACCACGCGAACATTAACCAAAAAATGCACCAGACGCTATATTAATATCATTTAAAGTATACGTCAAAGCAAATGTGCAGGGCAAGAAGGGGTATTACACAATGGTGAAAGGGTCAATGGACCAAGATGACATAGCGATCCTAAATGTGTATGCATCAAACAACAAAGCTTTGAAATATATGGAGTAAAAACGGATAGAACTAAAGGAGGAACAGACAATTCCACAATTACACTGCAGGACTTCAATACCCACCTTTCAACTACTGAACTACTTACTACACAGAAAGTGAGCAAGGATCTAGAAAATCTGAATAACATCATCAACCAACAGGACTGTGTAGACATTTAAAGAAACTCCAGCCAACAGTAGAAAACACATTTTCTTCAAGCAGCCGTACAGAAGATTCATCAAGATAGACTATATAATGGATGATAAAAGAAAAAACCCACAGCAAATTTAAACAGCCATGTCACACACACAATGAACCAGAAATCAACAAAAAGAGAGTGTGAGCCCAGCCGGTGTGGCTCACTGGTTGAGTGTCAACCCACGAACCAAGAGGTTGCCAGTTCGATTCCCCATCAGGGAACATGCCTGGGTTGAGGGCTCGATCCCTAGCAGGGGGCGGGCAGGAGCAGCTACTTGGTGATGTCTCTCACTGATGTCTCAATCTCTCTATCCCTCTCCCTTTCTCTCTCTCTAAAAATCAATAAAAAAGTATTTTAGAAAAAGAGCATGAAATATGCCACAAAGTCAACAACATACTTTGTAAATAATCCATGGTTTAGAGAAGAAGTCTTGAATGAACAAATATTTAGAACTGAATGAAATGTAATTAAAATGTATTAAAACTTGTGAGATGAAGCTAAAACAGTGCATTGGGGGAAAATGATAGAATTTAATGCTTACAATAGAAAAATAATCTCAAGTTAATAACCTAAGCATCCACCTCAAGAAACTAGAGGAAAACACAACCAACGTAAGTAGAAAAAAGAATATACTAAACATCAGGAAATCTGTGAAATTAGGAACAGAAAGGTAACAAGCAAACACCGATATAAAGTGCTGGTTCTTTGAAATGATAAAAAAAAGCGATAAGTACTAAGAAGACTGACAAAATAAAGAGTTGAAAGATTTCAATATCAGGAATAAAACAGGGTAATAAACAAATTCTACTGCCAAAATAATAATAAAAGAATACTTGAAGCAAATAAGAAAATTTACACGAAGTAGAAGAATCCCTAGAAAAGGACAATGAAAATTCATCCAATATGCAATATACTCTAAATAGTTCTATCCATATTAAATAAAATAAATACCTAATTAAAAAGCATCCAGAAGAATACCCTCCAGGACTAAATGATTCTCTGGAGAACGCTGCCAAACATTAAAAGAACAAGTAAAATCAATTCTATGCATTGTCTTCTAAACAACAGAAGAAGGAGCAGCTCTCAGCACCGGCTGGGAGGCGGAATCACCTGCACACCCAAACCAGACACTGACAGACAGTACAGAAAACCAAACAAGCAAAACCAAAGAACGGAAATAAGGAAAAGAACCTAAATATTGTTATCTTTTATGAAAATAGAGGAAATTATCCTCAGTAAAAATATTAGCAGACTGAATACTGTAATACATAAAAATAATTAGACGCCATGACCAAGTAGGACTCATTCCAAGGACAGAAAGCTGGTTCAATATTTAAAACAGCGGTGAGGAGTGGGGGGAGGGGGGAAAAGATGGGGTGGGTGGAAGTGGAAGAGGGTATAGGGTAAATGGTGATGGGAAAAAAAGAAAAGAAAAAGTATTTAAAATATCATACCAACAGGCTACAGAAAAAAGCAAACAAACATGGTTATATCAACTAAGAGAGAAAAAGCATTTGACAAAATTCAACACCCGTTCAAGATAACAAAAAACCTCAGCAAATGAGGAACAGGGGACACCTTCTGAACTCGGTAAGAAGCCTCTATGAAGAAAACCTACGACGAACATCAGACGTAATGATGAAAAACGGAGTGTTTCCCCTCTAATATGAGGGACCAACAAGAACACCTTTCTCACTACTTCTACTCAGCATTATATTGGAAATCCTAGCTAGTGCAGTAAGACAGGACAAAGAAGAGGTAATGCAGAGGAGAAGAAAAAATAAAAACTATCCCTATTTTTCTTTGTAGAAAAATCCCAAGCATTCTAACACATAAATGGTTACAGCTCAGAAAGTTTGCAGGATGCCAGAATAACATCCAAAAATGATCTGTATAATACCAAAGACTGATAAAAATTGGACAAGACCTGCTATTGACCTTTATAAAACAGTAGAGATAAACAATGCTGCAATATAGACACACACCATGTTAAATAACTGGAAGACTCAACGCAGTCAAGATGCCTGTTCTCAACAAATTGATCCACCTGCCAATTTAACTCAATTTCTATCAAAACTTGATATTTTGGGGGTAAAAAAAAAAATCAAGTATATCTAAAACTTTATATAGAAATTAAAGTGGAAGTGATAAATAAGTTTCAAATAAAAAAATGTGGATAAAAGAATCACTTTACTCAATTTAAAAAATTTACCATTTAACTATAGCCATCAAGTCAACCAACAGTACAGAACCAAAAAATGTCCAAGTACTGGGTCTTAAAAACCACGTCTTCACATTTAAAGAACCATTTTGTTCTTTAAAAAGCAAAGCCTTACCCAGTGTTACCCGGTGCAATAAAATGTGACTGTCCATACGTGTACTCGAATCCCCTCAAACAAAAAAGTATTTATGGTTCAAGCCTTCATATTTCTCAAAAAAATTAAACTCCTTAAGAGTAGAGACAGTGGCCTGCTGGCGTGGCTGTTGGTTGAGCACTGCCCCATACACTGAAAGACAGTGGGTCCAATTCCCAGTCAGGGCACATGCCTAGGTTGCAGGTTCAATCCCTGGTTGGTGTGTGTCTGGCAGGCAACTGCTGGGGGTTTCTCCCCCACCACCCCTCTCTACAAGTAATGGGAACATGTCCTTGGGTAAGGATTTTTTTCTTCTTCTTCAAGAATACAGACAATGTTTTAGAACAAGGATGTTCATTGAAAGTTTTCAGACCTGCCTTCAACTGTCTACTTTCTAGACAATGGACAACAGTGAATGTATGTACAAGACACATACAGACCCTAGTCCTTCACCTCTCACACAACACTCTCCTCCTGCCAACGAGACTAAGAAATCCATGACCAAGTGCCATAGGCGTGGCCGGAGTCTGAAGAAACTGGGGGTAGTTCCTTTACTCTTCCAAGTCTCTCCCTTCTTTTTAAAGAAGAAATTCCTGAGATAACACTGCCGCGTAAACTAAGGAGAAAGATAGAGTGGGAAGTTTTCTAAGTGCCTGATAACCACTGGGTCTCTCTCCTGAATAAACTCCCACACGTAGAATAAGGCTCCAGGCGGGGTCAGTTTCCAACATGATTCATGAGAAGATCACTGACATCTTGCAACTGGTTTTTCACAGGGAAGACAACCCTGGGGTTTCTCTTTGGTATGAATGATTAGAGTCTGAGTACGGTGATTCTTCTGGCAAAACATTCTCCACAGTGTTTACATTCAAAAAGTCTTTCCCCAACAGGAGTTCTTGGAGGTTGACTGAGGATTGTCCACTGGCGAAGGGTCTTCCCACTTCTGTGACACCGACTGGGTTTCTCCCAGTGTGAACCCTTTGATGCTGGGTGAGGGATGAGCTACGACTGAAGGCCTTCCCGCACTCACTGCACTCATAGGGCTTCTCCCCGGTGTGGATGATGGAGTGTCGGATGAGGTTAGTGCTCCAGCAGAAGGTTTTCCCACACTCCATGCACTCATAGGGCTTCTCTCCGCTGTGAATCCGCTGGTGCCTCGTGAGACCTGACCTGCGGTTGAAGGCCTTCCCACACTCACCGCACTCATAGGGCTTCTCTCCAGTGTGGATGCTGAAGTGCCGGATGAGGTCGGCCCGATTGCTGAAGGCTTTGCCGCACTCCTTGCACTCGAAAGGCTTTTCTCCAGTGTGGGCCCTCTTGTGCAGGATGAAAGTGGAGCAGTGGGTGAAGGCCTTGCCACACTCGCCGCACACATATGGCTTCTCCCCGGTGTGGATCCGCTGGTGCCTCTTGAGGTACGACCTGTGGTTGAAGGCCTTCCCGCACTCGAGGCACTCGAAGGGCTTTTCCCCCGTGTGGATGACGTAGTGGTGGATGAGGGCCGCGCTTTCACAGAAGGCTTTCCCACACTCACTGCACTCATAGGGCTTCTCCCCAGTGTGAGTCTGCTGGTGCCACATGAGGTATGACCTGTGTTTGAACACCTTTCCACACTCGAAGCACTCATAGGGGTTCTCGCCGCTGTGGATGATGTAGTGCCGAATGAAACCTGGCCTATCTCGGAAAGCTTTTCCACACTCTTTGCACACAAAGGGCTTCTCTCCAGTGTGGCTCCTGTTATGGAGGACGAAAGTCGAGCGGTGGGTGAAGGCCTTTCCACATTCATCGCACTTATAGGGCTTCTCTCCACTGTGAATCCGCTGGTGTTGTGTCAGGTGTGACTTGCGGTTGAAGGCCTTCCCACACTCCATGCACTTATATGGCTTCTCCCCTGTGTGGACCATGTGGTGTTGAAGGAGGTAAGTGCTCTTACTAAAGGTTTTCCCACACTCTGTGCATTCATAGGGCTTCACTCCGGAGTGAATCCTCTCATGTCGAGCCAGGAGGCGTTTCTTGTTGAACACTTTCCCACATTCATTGCATTTGAAGATACTTTCGTCTTCCCGAGTCATGTGATCTTGACCTAATCTGCATGAGCCATGCTCCAGGAGAGCTCGCAGCGCAGGGGCACGCATACCCTCTGCTGTCCCCCAGCCGCCATGTTCAGAGCGGGATTTCCTAGGAAGCTTCTCCTTCTGCAGGTCTATCCCTGATTCCCACTGTCCCTCTCGCACTTCCAATGGCCCATTCTGATCCGTGGTTTGGTCCACCTGGAAGTCTTCTGGGGATTCAGCTCCTTGTGTTAGTTGCTCCAGAAGTGAGGCTCTCCCAGACAGGGCAAGCTCACATGTAGTGGGTTCTGTGATTTTAGCTTTTCCCTTCTCACCTGAAAGAAATCCAATGCACAACAGGGCCTGTTAGTAATGCCAACATAAACACACACACACACACCCACACACACACACACACACAAACACACACACACACACAAACTCCCCACCATTTCAGTGATTTAAAAAAAGGTGAAAATAGTGCTTTCTGTGTTTGCTTGTTTTACCTCTGAATACAAGGACTGCAATTTTTTTCTTTTCTAGTCCCTGGACTGTGGACACCTTGAATGGGAGACAAAGGGAAGTAGCTGGGTTACAGGGTGGAGTGATGAGAAGAAACAGTAAACTCCAGAGAGGATATTTATGCAAACAGGTAACTCACTTGGGCCCCTATATAGTTTATGCCGAAGACATGACTCAGGGCAAGGCCTAGCCATGCTAGAAAGACTAACCATATGCTTAGAGGGTTGGGACACTGAGCTATATGATAACAACTGGGCTTCTGGAAAAAGAGGGGGCAGGAGACTGTGTCATCATGTTGTGGTGACCCCCAATTTCACTGTTACAAATTAAACATAATTAAAGCATAGTGATTAATCACAAAAACAATATGTAATTATATATGTGTTTTCCGATGGTCTTAGGCGACCCCTGTGAAAGGGTCATTCGACCCCCAAAGGGATCGTGACCCACAGGTTGAGAACCACTGTACTAGACAAAGACTTAAAAATCATCTTGTCTGAACGTACCCTATCTTGTCTGATCTCAGAAGCTAAGCAGGGTCGGGCCTGGTTAGTACTTGGATGGGAAATCACCTGGGAATACCAGCTGCTTTAGTCTTAAAATAGTAATAATAAATTAAATAGAATTTCTGAAACACAATACTACCAACAACTGTACACCAACAAAATGGATAACCTAAGTGACATGGACAAATTCCGAAAAACACAAAACCTACCAAGACCTATTCATGGAGAAATAAAACGTATGAATAAACCTATAATAATTAAGGAGATTGGATTTACTAATCCAATATCTCCCAACAAAGTAAAACACTGGACCTGGTAACTTTACTGGCGAATTCTACCAAACATTTCTAAAGAACTAATACCAATCCTTCTCAAACTCGTTTAAGCTCATTCTCAGACTATCAATATCATGATAATAAAGCTAAAGCACTAGTAGAAAACAAAACTGCAGACAAAACAATATCTCTCATGAAAACTGATGCAAAAATCCTCAACTAGAGAGTGGCAAACTAAAATGCAGTGGCATATTTAATGGACCATACACCATGACCACGCGGGGTTTATTCCTGTAATGCAAGGTTGGTTTGACACATGACAATTGATCAGTGTGATACACATTAACAAAATGGGAGGGGAAAGGCAACACGATTATCTCAATTGATGCAATAAATACTGCCAATAGCTTGCTTTTCATGAGCCACTTTCTATGTCTCAGACACTGTGCTAAGCAGTTTTAGACATTAATGTATTACATGATTACACCCCCAAACAACCCAATGACAAAAACACCATTTTTACTAGCATCTTCCTGGGACAGACCGAGTGTAGCAGACCACACTCAACACAACAAATGCTCGGCGACTCAGACTGGACACACAGCCTCACCACAACTCCCAGCCCCATACCCAGGTGTCCAAACGCCTAGTTCGCCTCAATGGGATGTGAGGGGAACTGGTGTTTGTGGGAGGGGGTGTGACATCCTCCCTTCCTCTCTCCAGTCTCCTCTGCCAGCTTGAGGATGTCAAGACAGCCTGACAGCCACACACTGACGACAGAACCCACACGGGTCCCTGAAAACCATGTGGCACAGAGCTCCCTGCCGACCCCACGTGAGTGAGAAAAAGCTACCATATGCTGGGCAACGAGACGCTGGAGCCTGTCTGATCCAGCAGCTACTTTAACTTATACAAAGACACAGAAGACCGTGCCACTCACTACAGCCACAGAGCTGGCAACCAGCAAGCCAGACTCTGAGCCCCAGACAGATCTTAGCTCTTACACCTCTGTCCTCCATGACATCAGAGGGCCCACAGGTCAAAGGGCTCCATGGCTTGCCCTGGCTAGTGTGGCTCAGTGGGTTGGGTGCCATCCCATGCACTGAAAGGTTACTGGTTTGACTCCCCGTCAAACACAGCGGTGGTGAGGCTGTGTGTCCAGTCTGGGTTGCAGGCTTGATCCCCGGTAGGGAGCATGCAGTTATTCTGCTTTCACATCTCACATCGATGTTTCCCTCTCTTCCCCTCTCTCTAAAAAATCAATAAAAAAATATTTGGAGAAAAGGGCTCCATGGCTTCCAAACCACCAGACAGGCCACAGGAAGCTTCCCAGTCAGCGGTCTCCTCAAGGCCTCAGGGCGGCAGGGCCTCCGTTTGCCGGGCCTGGGCTCCTACCTGGACAGGCGCCTCGGGGGAGATCTGTCTTCGCCATCCACAGCTCCCGCCCTGGCTCCGGCTCCGGCTGGTAGATCAGCTGCGGTCTGGGAACAGGGCACCCTGTTCATGGAGAAGGAAAGAGGACGTGAGGATTTAAAAAAAGGATTGAAGACACAAAGGTATTTGTGAAAGGAAATAAAATCTCTCAATCTAGTCTGGGACAAGACCTCAGAAGGAAGCTGCTTCCATCCACACAAAGTGCTGACGTAGGACCTGAACCAAAGACAGGCCATACTGACATGGAGTTTCTATTCCTAATACTAAGTCAAAAACTAATATAGAGTGTAATCACACTCAGAGGACTCTGTCAGCAACTTAAAGGCATCATTTCGTTTCAAAATCAAAATGAACTTCTGGAGAAAACAACCGACATACCTAAAATATGTACTCCTTTCAGTCAAAACAAGGTATGTGTCTTCATTGATCTGTCTTTTCCCCCCATTTTTAAACATGTATTGATTTGAGAGAAAAAGGGGGGTGCAGGAGAGGGAGACAGAAACAGAAAGAGAGAGAGAGAACACTGACTAGTTCCACTTACGTGTGCGTTCATCGGCTGATTCTCATATGTGCCCTGCCCAGGATCACACCCGCAACCTGGGCGTATCAGACAACGCTCTAACCAACTGAGCTACCTGGCCAGGATCTAGGTCTTTTTTTTTTAGATCCACAGACAAGATGAAGATTCCACCTCAGGATTTCCTCAGAGCATCACCAGCAAGTACACACTGTGACCAGCCCCACATTATAGATGAGGAAGCCAAGGCTCAAGCAGGTAACATGATGTGCTGAAGAGGACAGAGTGGTGGGTGGCGGCGCCAACGTGGAAGGCCCGGTCCAGCCTTGTCTGCTGTCTTGGCTGTTTCCCCACCCCGGCCCCAGAGGCGCTGAGTCCAGACACAAGGGTACGAGACTCCTGAGAGTCACAGCGACAGCAGAGCAGCAGGGAGTCCTCAGTGCTGACCTGGTCACAGCAGGCGTTGTCCTGAGCCTTTCCCCAAGTCGCCCATGTGCCCTGCCGCACTCCTGAGAAGCAGCTGTCACATTAACCCATTTTCCCAATAACGCACTATGGCACAGAGAGGTTCAGTAACTTGCCCAAGGCCACACAGCTTTCCAGGAGCAGAGCTGGATGAACCATCAAGATTCTGGCACTAGACACTTGTCCCCCAAACACTCTACTCAGGAAGAACCCTTGTGGGGCCAGCAGCCCGAGGCTGGTCTTGTCCACGGCAGGATGTACAGCATCCCTGGGCTCTGCCCACCAGATGCCACTACCACCCACACCCAGCTGTGACCATCAAAGTGGCCACCAATACTGGGGAACTGGATGAGAGAAGGTGAAGGGAATAAGCAAAAAAAACCAAATATATGTATGTGTGTGTGTGTGTGTATATATATATCAGACATAGTGTGACGAGCGAACAACCGTGTGGTGACAGCTAGAGGGAAAGTGGGATGGGGTAGATGGAGATGGGGGGGGGGGGGAGAACAGTTTATTGATTTTTAGAGAGAGAGGAAGGGAGAGGGAGAGAAAGAGAAACATTGCTGTGAGAGCATAACATTCAATTGGCGGCCTCCATGGGGGATGCAGCCCGCAACCCGGGCCTGTGCCCTGACTGGGAATCCAACCAGCAACCTTTCTGTGCATGGGGATGACACCCAACCAGACGAGCCACAGCAGCCAGGGCCCCTGAGGCCTTCGTGACCAGCCAGGCCTGGAGGCAGACGTGGGATAAGGAAGTGGCGGGTCCCCCACCGAGGGATCGGACTCACCCAGCGACGCCAGGAGCCTGCAGTTCTCCAGCATCACCTCCTGGTACAGGGTCCTCTGGGCCACGTCCAGCTGCCCCCACTCCTCCTGGGAGAAGGTCACGGCCACGTCCTCAAAGGTCACAGACACCTGGGAAGTAAAGCAGAGGTCACAGCGACGGCCTTGGGGCTGCTGATGGGATCAGTGAGCGTCTCTGGGTTGTGGTCCAGGGGCAGACATCAAGGCCCAGAGCACCAGGCAACTGCTGGGTCCTGCCAGGGGGCTTCACATCATGTCTCCCCCCAACCCCTAATTACAGCTGACATTCAATATTCTTTGACATTAGTTACATCATGTGCTAAAGTGACTAAAAGTCCCCAGCTCCTTTTTATCTATAGTGAATAAATACATCGGCCTATAAAAACCGCTGTCCAGAAATACGGAAATACAAGGACAAACATTTGCAGTCAGGTGTCTGCTTGCCAACAGCCAGAACAATTCACAAAGGGGTAAAATGAAAGATCCCAGAACCACTTGACAAGTCCCCTGCTCTCAAGCCATCCTTTTCACCAGTGGCTCCTGACAGCCCTGTGCTGAGCAGGCCCACTAGTTAAATACCAATAATCCAGCCACTTCACTCTCAGATGCACAGCCTTACTACTACAGATGATTTAAATGCTCCCAGATCTTCAGTCTCCTAAAATCTCTCAAACAAGCAGCAGCTGGCATCAGTGTGCCCCAAACCTATCAATAAAAGGCCCAAGACCCAGCACTAGCACCAGCTTGCCTTGCTTCGCAGCTGGGCCTCACCTGGGCACTTCCAAGCCCAATACAAATAGCAGCCATCTGCAGATCTCTCTGTAGTTCCTGCCAGGTGGCCCCAAGCAGTGGCTGACCATGAGCCTCTTGAGAGGCCCCACAGCCAGTGCACCCGATGGACAGCTTCAGACCACACCAGATTACATTTCTACACATCACAAGCAACACACTCAAGGGGTAGACTCAGTGAGCATCAAAGCCCCACTGAAATGAGTCCTGCTCCATAGGGTGCCTCCTGCACAGCAGTTCCTCCATTATAGTCACAGCTGGTCCTCACAGCCAATTGGCCTGAAGGTCAATTCCTCCCAGTGATGCCAACAGCAACCAAGGCTCAACTACAAGACTGCACACAGCCCACACAGGGTGCACCTAGAGTGTCCGTCTCAGGTGACTGGGGAGGCTAAACCACTGGGCCCTACAGGACACCTACTACACAAGGCCATATTACCAATTCCGGAGATATAGCAGCTCTACCTAATATATAGAAACAAATACAGGGAAGCAGCCAAAATGTGGAGACAAAGAAACATGTCACAAATGAAAGAACAGAAGAAATCACCAGAAAAAAGAAATAAATGAAACGGAAGCAAGCAGACTACTGGATACAGAGTTCACAACAATTGTTATAAGGTTGTGCAAAGATCTTAATAAGAGCTTCAAGGGGCTTAATGAGACTTTCAAGGATCTTAGTGAGACTTTCAAAGACATGAAAAAGGACCAGTCAGGAATTAAGTATACACTAACTGAAATAAAGAATAATTTACAGGGATTTAACAGTAGAGTAGAGGATTCCGAGAATCAAATAAACGATTTGGAATATGAGGAAGCAAAAAACATTCAATCAGAAGAGCAAAAAGAAAAAGAATTTAAAAAATATGAAGATAGTGTAAGGAGCCTCTGGGACACCTTCAAGTGTACCAACATTCAATTAAAGTTTTCTTGACTTAATATTTCAATTAAACACTCAGCAATTTCTCGTAAATGAATTGGTCCATATATAGGAGCCCTGCAGTATTACTCATTTCTGGGTGGGATACTCATGTTATGTGCAAATTTTGGGCAGGTAGGTAAGAATAGAAAAACCAGCTAGGGTCTCCACGTTTACTACCAGACGATATATGTTTAAATAATATAAACTCCCGGCCCTGGCCGGGTAGTTCAGCTGGTTAGAGCATCCTCTGGACACACCAAGGCTGCAGGTTCCCTCCCGTGCAGGGCACATGCAGGTGTCAGCCAATGAATGCAGAAATGAGTGGAACAATAAATTGTTTTGTTGTGTTTTTCTTTTTTTCATCTTGCTCTCGCTCTCCCTTCCCCTCTTAAAAAAAAAATCAACAAATAAAAATAAAAACATCCTATATAATAAAACCCTAATATGCAAATTGACCAAATGGTGGAACGACCAGTTGCTATGATGAGCACTGACCACCAGGGGGCAGACGCTCGATGTAGGAGCTGCTCCCTGGCAGTCAGTGTGCTCCTACAGGGGGTGCACTGTTCAGCCAGAAGCCGGGCTCATGGCTGGAGAGCACCTCCCCTGCAGAGCTAAGGATCCCTCGTGGGGAGTGGGCCTAAGCCGGCAGTTGGACATACCCCAAGGGCTCCCAGACTGCAAGAGGGTACAAGCTGGGCTGAGGTGACCACCCTGCCCCCCTGCCACCAGTGCACAAATATCATGCACCAAGCCTGTAGTGTGTGTGTGTGTGTGTATATATATATATATATATATATATATATATATATATGTATGTATGTATATATAGGCTCTCTGACATGCAATTACACAGCATTCTGTATAACTGGTTAGGGTGCAGCAGTGTACATGGCTTTCCCTAGCTGGTTAAGCTGGAAGTGGGTAAAAATTTGAAACAGGGTCCTGCCGGCCTGGCTCAGCGGCTGACAATCTATGAACCAGGAGGCCAGGGTTCAATTCCCCATCAGGGCACGTGCCCAGACTGCAGGCTAGATCACACAGCCCATCAATGATTCTCTCTCATCACTGACGTTTCCATCTCACTCTCTCCCCTTTCCTCTCCGAAATCAATAAAAATATATTTTTTAAGTATATTTTATTGATTTTTTACAGAGAGGAAGGGAGAGGGATAGAGAGCTAGAAACATTGGTCAGAGAGAAACATGATCAGCTGCCTCCTGCACACTCCCCACTGGGGATGTGCCGGCAACCAAGGTACATGCCCTTGACCGGAATCGAACCTGGGACCCTTCAGTCCGCAGGCGGACGCTCTATCCACTGACCAACACCGGTGAGAACAATAAAAATATGTTTAAAAATGAGGAAAAGGGGTGGTTATTTATCAGGTCCTGGCCACTTGGGGCCGCATTACTGGTTAGCCCCCGCCCCGTCACTGCAGATGGGAGCGGCCGGCCCCTGCGTTGCGCATGCGCTGTGGGGGGTGGTCTCCCGGGCCGGCGGCTGCACGCTGAGGGGCTGGGGGGTCACCTCTGTTTCCGCCTCCGCCCCTTCGGGTGCTCGGCCTCTCGCGTCCTGACAGCGGGGCATGGGCAAGGGCATGTACCTTGGTTGCCGGCACATCCCCAGCCCCCCCTTTAAACCAACCACAAGGACAAAGCGGGACCCCACGACCACGACTGACGTGGCCTCCGCCGCGCCCGCACCGCCGTCCGCTCACCTGCGCCGGGTCCCCCTGCGCCGCCATCACCGGACCCCGCGGCGAGAGCCGGGCCCAGACGGGCGGCGGCCGAGGCGGGGCCCGCGGGCTCAGGCGGCCGCCCCCTTCCCCCTGCCCGCGGGGCGACCCGGGCCGGCGGCCGCCCTCCCCGCTCCAGGGCCGCGTCTTCGCCTCCGTTCCGCTCATGTTCCCAGAGCCGCCCGGGAAGCGGCCACACACGGCAACCGCTTCGCCACAGCTGGCAGCTGGCGTGGACGGCACCGTCGCGCGCAAATGACGGAGGGCTCTGAGTGACCGGAAGTCCTGCCTCCACCAGCGGAAACGCCCCTGCCCTGGCGCGCAGTTTTCTGGGTAATGTAGTTTTTCCTCTGCAAACGGGCTGCTGGGCTGCAGGGCAGGGCAGCATTGCTGGAGCTGGTGGTCCCCCGGGTGTTTTTTTCTTTTCTTTTGTTTGTGTTTTCTGATTTTTATTTTATTTTTTAATATATTTTTATTGATTTCAGAGAGGAAGGGAGAGGGAGAGATAGAAACATCAATGATGAGAGAGAATCATGGATCAGCTGCCTCCTACACCCCCCCCACTGGGGATCCTTCTTTTTTATTGCTGCACAGTATCCCATGGTGCAAATGTACTGCAGCTGTTTTAATCCGCTATTCGACTGATGGGCACTTGGGCTGTGTCCAGGTCTTAGCTATTGTAAATTGTGCTGCTGTGAACATAGGGGTGCATACATTCTTTCCTATTGGTGTTTGGTGTGTGTGGTTGTTTTTTTTTATCTCTTCACTCCAGGATAGTATTTTTTCCATTGCTTTTTAGAGAGTGGAAGGGAGGGATGGAGGGAGAGGAAAGAGAGAGAGAAGTGAGAGACACATCAATTGATTGCCTAAGCCAGGCACCCCACCCCCAGACCGGGATCTATCCTGCAATCCAAGGTACATGCCCTTAGACCAGGAATGGAACCCGCGATCATTGGGTCTGGCCCTGCCAAGGCGTTAGGGGTGAGTTAAGTAAACGTTTGACCAAACATAGCAGGCTAATTTTTTATTGTTGTCCATCCTCACTGGAGGGTATTTTTCCATTGCTTTTAGATAGAGGGGAAGGGAGGGAGGGAGAGAGAGAGAGAGAAGCATCGATGTGAGAGAGAGACATTGATTTGTTGTCTTCCACAGGTGCCCCAACTGGGGCCTAGGATCACACCTGCAACCCACGTACATTCCCTTGAGAATTGAACTTGAGAGTGGAAGGGAGCAAAGGAGGGAGGGAGAAAGAGAGAGAGAGAGAGAGAGAGAGAGAGAGAGAGAGAGAGAGAGGAACATCGATGTGAACGACACACTTCAATTGGTTGCCTCCTGAATGCACCCTGACCAGGGCTGGGGATCGAACCTGCAACCCAGGCACGTGCCCTTGACCGGGAATTGAACCCACGACCCTTACTATGCTTGGGCAGATGCTCTAACCATTGTGAGCCCCTCTCATGGGAAAGAGTTCTACCAGAAATAAAGATTCTACCCAATGACACAAATGTACATAGCTATAAAGACGTCGTACAAAATGATTGACCTTTTGCCCTGGCCCTAGGTCAGTGATGGCGAACCTTTTGAGCTCGGCGTGTCAGCATTTTGAAAAACCCTAACTTAACTCTGGTGCCATGTCACATATAGAAATTTTTTGATATTTGCAACCATAGTAAAACAAAGACTTATATTTTTGATATTTATTTTATATATTTAAATGCCATTTAACAAAGAAAAAACAACCAGAAAAATGAGTTCGCGTGTCACCTCTGACACGCGTGTCATAGGTTCGCCATCACTGCCCTAGGTAGCTCAGATGGTGACAGCGTCATCCCGGTACACCAAGGTTACAGGTTCCATCCCTGGTCAGTGCACATACAAGAACCAACCAATGGATGCGTAGATAAATGAAACAGCAAAGAGATGTTTCTCTCTCTCTCTCACTTCCTCCTTCTAAAATCAATAAAAAGTTTTGCCCTGGACAGTTTGGCTCAGTGGATAGAGCATCAGCCTAAGGACTTTACGGACTGATGGGTCCTGGGTGTGATTCTGCTCAAGGGCACATACCTTAGTTGCAGCCTCCATCCTGAGCCCTGGTTGGGGCGCATGCGGGAGGCAACCAATCAATGTGTCTCTCTCACACCGATGTTTCTTTCCATCTCTCCGTCCTTTCCACTCTCTCTAAAAAAATCAATGGAAAATATCCTCGGGTGAAGAGAAAGAAAACAAAAAGAAATAAAAATAATGTTAAAATAAATGATTAATCTTTTATTAGTTAGCATCTTATATTCTAACAGTGAAGACACCAAAGACAGACATGATAGCGGAGCCAGGAGAGCTCCCTGAACAAACACATAGGAACCGGGCAGGCAGGACTCAGGAGGCCGACGGAGCGGGTGGAGGTCCCCCCCTCCGAGAATGGGCCTGCACCCACGGGTGCTGCAGGACCTGGGCCAGCGGCAGCCGCTCCGAGGGCTGGTATCTGAGAAGCTTGCTGATCAAGTCCTGGGCCCCCAAAGGTATCGATGGAGGAAACTTTACATCAACCTGAGGAGGTTGGAGGAGAAACACAAGTATGGTTAAATTTTAAAAAATAATAAAAAAAATATATAGAGGGTGTCCCAAAATTCACACAAGATTTGAATTTTGCATGAGCATTAACAACAACAACAAAAAAGCCTAATTTTACTTGGTTTATTGAATCAGATTCTAATATCTGTTGCCCTTTGATTTCAATCCCTTCAATTTGATAAGCATCACCAAGTACCAATGATGGCCCAGGGGCAGGGACAATGAAGACCACGGCTTTGCATATGTGCCAGCAAAGCCGTGGAGGCCATTTACCCAATGTGCTAGTCCATACATAACCCTATACTGTATACTTTATGAATCCATAAAAAATTTACAATTTTTATTATAAACCTGTGTTTTCTATCAAAATTACTTCTTGCGTGAATTTTGGGACACCCTTTATATACTATCCGTGCACCAGTAGCTTGCTTCGGCCCTCCTGCAGCTCTCCACCCCCTTGTAGCTCGCTGCCCCACCCTCCTGCTGATCTGTGATCTGGTCGTTACACGGTCGGTCGTTATGTAACGGCCATCTGCATATTACATCTTTATTATGTAGAATATGTGTGTGTGTGTGCATGTAATATATTTTTATTTATTTCAGAGAGGAAAGGAGAGGGAGAGATAGAAACATCAATGATGAGAGACTCTATGGGCTGCCTCCTGCACACCCCCTACTGGGGACCGAGCCCACAACCTGGGCATGTGCCCTGGACAGGAATTGAACCCGGGTCCCTTCAGTCAGCAGGCCGATGCTCTATCCACTGAGCCAAACCAGCCAGGGCTGGTATGGTTAACTTTTTTGGCTCAGATTCTCTCTGCGGTGAGTCCCTTCCAGGCACGGGATCTGTGCATGTCGCAGGCTGGGCAGGCCCAGCAGCCACGGCTGCCCCACTGCCCCAGGAGCGTGAGGGACACTGCCGCCTCACCTTGAGGATGCGCCTGTAGGTCTCGGAGTAGGAGGAGCTCTCGAAGGGGGGATTTCCCACCAGCAGCTCGTAGCAGAGCACCCCGATGCACCACAGGTCCACCATCTCGCTGTACGTCCTCTGCTCGATCATTTCCGGGGGCAAGTAATCCAGAGTCCCGCACATGGTCTTCCTCCTGTAGGCGGGCGGAGGCGTGAGCGCGGCCCAGAGGCCAGAGGCCCAGACCAGGGAAACATCCCTCATCGGCCCCAGCGAGACGGGAGACCCTCCCCAGCACGGGAGCTGGGAAGCACCAAGTTTTCGTTTGTTTTTTTAATTGTATTGATTTCAAAAATGAGAGAGAATCATTGATCGACTGCCCCCTGCACACCCCTGACCGGAAATCAAACTGTAACCTACTGGTTCATAAGTCGACACTCAGCCACTGAGCCAACGCTGGCTGGGCATGGAAGCCCCAAGTTTTGTGGTTTTTTAAAAAAATATATTTTTATTGATTTCAGAGAAAAAAGGAGAGGGAGAGAGAGATAGAAATATCAATGATGAGAGAGAATCATTGATCGGCTGCCTCCTGCACGCCCCCTCTTGGGGGATCAAGCCCACAGCGTGGGCATGTGCCCTTGACCAGAATCAAACCCGGGACCCTTCAGTCCGCAGGCCATAGCTTTATCCACTGAGCCAAACAAGCCAGGGCCCAAGTCTGAATATGGATCAGGGTTCCGAGAAGGCAGGGATTCCAGATTTTGGAATTATTCATAACAAAGATTTAAGACAGAGAGGCAGAGAGGCATGGATTGGTTGCCTCCTGCACGAGCCCCAACAGGGCCTGGGTCTCAACCTGCAACCCAGGTGTGTGCCCTTGACTGGAGCTGAACTCGAGACCCTTCACTGAGCAGGCCGAGGCTCTAACCACTGAACACACTGGCCAGGGCCCAAGCGAGACTCCTTGTGCAGGGACAGCTGTTATAATCCTACCGGTAACACATTCGTTCGCTATCATTATCAAGCACCCTGTACTATATATAACTGTATGTGCTATACGTTTGTCTTTATTTATTCATTTATTTTAATCCTCACCCGAGGATATTTTTCCATTGATTTTTTTTTTTTTTTTTAGGCAGAGTGGAAGAGAGAAGGGAAGACAGAACCATCGACGTGAGAGAAACACATCCGATTGGTTGCCTCCTGCACCAGCCCCAATGAGGGCCCGGGCAGGGGAGGAGCCTGTAACCGAGGTACACGCCCTTGACCGGAATCGAACCCGGGACCCTTCGGTCCACAGGCCCAGGCTCTATCCACTGAGCCACACTGGCTAGGGCTGTATGTGTTACACTTTTAGACAACTGGCAGCACAGGTTTATTCACACAGCATCACCATGGACACGTGATGCATCGTGCTACAGCATTATTCAGCTATGTCACTGGGCAAATGGAATTTTTAGCTCCATTATAATCCTCTGGGACCACCATCGTACACGCGGGCCATCACTAACTAAAGCAGCAATTCTCAACCTGTGGGTCGCGACCCCTTTGGCGGTCGAACGACCCTTTCACAGGGGTCGCCGAAGACCATCCCTGCATATCAGATATTTACATGACGATTCATAACAGTAGCAACATGACAGTGATGAAGTAGCAACGAAAATAATTTTATGGCCCTAACTGGTTTGGCTCAGTGGATAGAGCGTCGGCCTGCGGACTCAACGGTCACGGGTTTGATTCCGGCCAAGGGCATGGACCTTGGTTGCAGACACATCCCCAGTGGGGGGGTGTACAGGAGGCAGCTGATCGATGTTTCTAACTCTCTATCCCTCTCCCTTCCTCTCTGTAAAAAAATCAATAATATAGAAAAAAAATCAATGTTTAAAAAAAATAATAATTATATGGTTGAGTCACAACATGAGGAGCTGTATTTAAAGGGCCAGAAGGTTGAGACCCACTGAACGAAAGGCGGCACCTTTAGGTGGTGCTTGCCGGTACTCAGTTACAAACCCAAGCCTGTGTCCGGGTCTTACACCCGGGACGTGTTACCCCGCATTGTTCCTAACGAGCAACCCAGGGCCCAGCCCGTCCTCGCCGGACTCACCTCAGCGAGGGGGTGTGCACGGACCAGCCGAAGTCCGCGATCTTCACCTCCCCCCGGAGCCCCAGCAGCAGGTTCTCCGGCTTGATGTCCCGGTGGATCACCTTGTTCTCGTGGCAGTAGGCCAGAGCGTGTGCCAGCTCCGCCATGATCTGTGTGGGCGGAGGCAAGGGCAGTCTTAGAAATGAAGCTGGGCCCTGACCGGTGTGGCTCAGTGGATAGAGCGTCGGCCTGTGGACTGAAGGGTCCCAGGTTCGATTCCAGTCAAGGGCATGTACCTGGGTTGCGGGCACATCCCCAGTGGGGGGTGTGCAGGAGGCAGCTGATCGATGTTTCTCTCTCATCGATGTTTCTAACTCTCTATCCCTTCCCCTTCCCCTCTGTAAAAAAAATCAATAAAAATATATTTTAAAAAAAAGAAAAAGAAGAAAAAAAGAAACAGAGCCGGCCACAGCTTCCCTGAGGGGAGACACCCGGCCTGCGCTGTGCAGTTGGCCTCTTTTATTTCCTGGTCACCAACGCCCCGACCCCCTGATACGGCACCAGTATTGATGGTGGGGGAGGGTTTCCGCTCCCCCATTCTATGTAGTCTGTTAGGATAGGTGCTAAGGAGGCCAGATCCTCCCTTTTGCCCTAGCTCAACAAGTAGCTCAACTGCAGGGCTTACAGCCTGAGGAAATGATCTCTATAAAAGGCTAATATGCTAAGTGTCCGTCCGGGTAATGACGTCACATAGCAACGCCCAGCTTCCTCTCCCTAGCGACTAGCCTCCTTGCAGTTTCTTCAGCCCAGGAACACAATTTGATTTATAGCCAGGTGGAAACATTTCACTCTTTAACCAAATGTCTGTGAAGCATTTTCCCATGCCTCATCTCATTTGATCCTCACAGAAGTCCTGGAGTAGGTAGATAGGAGACTCGGTGGAATCCTATTTTCTTTTCATTAGCCGGAAAATGGAGATTTAGAAAGCTTAGAAACTTGACCCAACTGAAAAGAAGTTAGAAATGGTGGACCCTGAAAATGACTTCAGGTTTTCTCACTGTGCAGAATACAGTCAAACACTGCTGCAGTGATATATTTTACCCTTTATTCTCCCTGCATGATCTACAATAATAATCTGCTTCATGTTGATATTTACTGCCGTGTTGCTGACAATTACCCGAAAGAGAAGTTGGGGTGCTTCACTGGGCTGGAAAAAGTTTAGCTACATCAGAAAGCAGGTCTAATTAAGCAAGTTTGTTCTATATCTATAAAAGGCTAAGTTGACTCTCGCATGTGCGATACATATAAAGCTCTTGCTGGTGCCAATCACACACATATTTCTATCTGTCATTTTTTTTAAAAAATATATTTTATTGAATTTTTTTACAGAGAGGAAGGGAAGGGGATAGAGAGTTAGAAACCTTGATGGGAGAGAAACATCGATCAGCTGCCTCCTGCACACTCCCTACTGGGATGTGCCCGGAACCAAGGTACATGCCCTTGACTGGAATCGAACCCGGGACCCTTGAGTCCGCAGGCCGACGCTCTATCCACTGAGCCAAACCGGTTAGGGCTGTCATTGTTGATTGTGAATTTGGTTGACACTCTATTATAGAGAAAGGTCGAATAGCGATATTAAAATATTCCTTCTAATTAATTTCCGTTCAATGTGCATGAATTCGTGCACTGGGCCACTAGTACAAAAATAGAAGGAAGCCCTAGCCGGTTCGGCTCAGTGGGTAGAGTGTGGGCCTATGGACCGAAGGGTACCAGGTTCGATTCCAGTCAAGGGCACATGCCTGGATTACCTGTTTGATCCCCAGTAAGAGGCATGCAGGAGGCAGCCAATCAATGATTCTCTCATCATTAATGTTTCTCTCTCTCCCTTTCTCTCTGAAATCAATAAAAAAAATATAACATTTATTAAAAGCAAAAAGCAATCTGGACATTCATGACAGCCACAAGCAGTGATCTCCCTCACCAGCCCAAAGCCCCAGCCACCCTCCCCTTCCCCCCCACCTCACCGTGGCCGTACGCTGCTCATCGATCGTGTGGCTCTTTTGCAGCTCCTTGTAGAGCTCGCCCCGTGGCGCGTATTCCAGGATCAGGTACACGCGCCGCTCATCATGGAAGTAGTTGTACAGGCGTAGGATATTGGGATGTCTGGAGGGCAGACGGGAGGAGGGTCAGACTCCTCCCTGAGGCCCAACTCATGATGTTATTACAAGTGATTGGTCACACAAGACACAAGAAGCAGGTTGTGGCCTGGCAGGCGTGGCTCAGTGGCTGAGCGTCAATTTATGAACCAGGAGGTCACGGTTCGATTCCCATCAGGGCACAGGCCCGGGTTGCGGGCTCCGTCCCCAGTGTGGGGGGTGTGCAGGAGGCAGCCAAGCCATGATTCTCTCTCATATCAGATGTTTCTCTCTCTCCCCTCCTCTCTGAATCAATGAAAAACATATATATTTAGAGAAAAAAAAGAGAATAGGGTTCCTTAAATCTTAAAAAAAAAAAAAAAAAAGCAGATTGTCCTGGCACCAGTGTAACAGCCTGAGCTGGGAGTGCATGAGGGGAGAACAAGGAAAGGGCATTGGGTGTGTGACACAGGGGGCTGTGCAGAGTGTAATTGTGATAAATTGCAGAGAGGAAAAGACCTTCAGCTGAAAGCAAGGGCCTCGTTGGGGGTTGTTTGGAGGGAGATGCTGGGTGCGTGCGTCAAAGATAAAAGAGGACACAGTTGGTTTGGCTCAGTGTATAGAGCGTGGACTGAAGGGTCCTGGGTTTGATTCCGGCCAAGGGCACATGCCAGGGTTGTGGGCTCGATCCCCAGTGAGGGGCATGCAGGGGGCAGCCGATCGATGATTCTCTCTCCTCATGGATGTTTCTATCTCCCTCTCCCTTCCTGTCTAAAATAAATACAATATATTAAAAAAAAAGAACAAGAAGGGTCAGGCACCCGTGTGGACCCTGGCCGGGAGCTCAGCTGGTTAGCGCATCCTCCCATGGATGCCATTGTGGGTTCAATCCCAGGCCAGGTAATGTACAAGGGTCACCCATGAATGCAGAAATAGGTGGAACAACAAACAGATGTTCTTTTCTTTCTTTCTTTCTTTCTTTCTTTCTTTCTTTCTTTCTTTCTTTCTTTGTTTTTGCATGTGACATTCGTGGTACTTTTTATTTATTTATGTATTTTTAAATATATTTTTATTGCTTTCAGAGAGGAAGGGAGCGGAAGAGGGAGAGAGAGAAACATTGATGATGAGAGAGAATCATTGATCGGCTGCCTCCTGCACGCCACACACTGGGGGGGATTGAGCCGGCAACCCAGGCATGTGCCCTTGACCCGAATGGAACCTGGGACCCTTTAGTCCGCAGGCCGACGCTCTACCCGCTGAGCCAAACCGGCCAGGGCCAAACTGATGTTCTTTTCTCTCTCAAATGAAAAGAAAAAACAACCGCCACCAAAACCCCCGCAAGCAAACAGAGGCCCGCGTGGAGCCCTCTACGGGGAGACCAGCCTTACTGCAGATGCGACTGGATCTCGATCTCCCTGCGCAGCTGGTGCTCCATCCCCTCCTTCTCCAGCTGCGACTTGAACAGGACCTTGAGGGCCACGATGAAATGGCTGTCCCGGAGCCGGGCCAGGTACACGTTCCCGAACTTCCCCTTGCCCAGGGGGCGCCCGATGTCAAAGTCATGGATGGTGAGGCTGCGGCTGCCGGGGGAGGGAGAGGAGGGCCCGGGTCGGGTTGGGGAGTCGGGGTGTCTGGAGGGCTCGCCTTCCCCTCCCGGGCACCCTCCCTCCGCCGCCGCCCCTGCTCCGGGGCCGGGCAGGGCTGTGGGCCAGTCCCTCCCGGGAGCCCGCGCGCTCCCCGCGCACAGCTCCGCTCCCGTCTCATCCCGCGGCCCCGCGGCCCTTCCTCCTCCACACGCAGCGCCGGGGGCACTCACGCGGGGGGCGCGCTGGGCAGCGGGGGGGCCTCGTCAGCTGCTGAAAAAAAGAGAAAAGGGGGGGAAGAGCTGTCAACGCTTTCTTCTAGGCGCCTCCCAGCCCCAAACCCCCACAGCTGACACAGGTGTTGTGAATCCCCACCCGAGGATATTTCTCCATTGGTTTTCAGGGAGAGCGGAAGGGAGAGGGGGCGGCAGAGAGGAACATCGATGTGAGAGAGACACATGGCCGGGTGGCCTCCTGCACGCGCCCCCTCCAGGGCGCCGGCCGGGGAGGAGCCTGCCACCGAGGCAGGAGGTTCGCGCCCTTGACGGGAATCGAACCCGGGGCCCTTCGGTCTGCAGGCTGACGCGCTACCCACTGAGCCACCCGGTGAGCGCTGGGCCTGGGTCGGGCCCCTCTCACCTGCGGGCCGCGCATCGCCCGACGTCGCCGAGGGCGGTGGGGCAGACTGTGGGACACTCATGACGGGGGAGAGGGTGAGCCCCGCGGAGCTGGGGGTGCGGGTTCCGCGGAGCCTCGACGGGGGCCTCAGGAGGTTACCCTCGCGCGGACGCTCTTCCAGTCGCGACCCGGGGCTGCTGCGGCCTCGGGGCGCCCCCTGGAGGCGCCTCAACGACTCCCCGGCGGCTCGGGAGCTCGCGGGCGGCGCTGACGGGGCCTTTTATAGTTCGCGCCCTCGCCCCATTGGCTGAGCGGAGTTACTGTTCTGTTCCCATTGGTTGACATTTCTGAGGGGCAGGCAGCCTGCCCAGTAGAAAGGACAGAGATGGGAACTTCTGCCCGACCGAGGACGCTGGGCCAATGAGATGGCAGCGCGGAAACAGGAAGAGGCGGGGCCTTGGGCGGGGGCGGGACGTGCTGGAAGCTGAAGAGTCGGGAGCTGAGGTCGCCCGAGGAAGTGTCAGGAAGCAGCCAATGGGGGCGCGCGGACTAAGCTGCTGGGGTACCTTGTGCGGTTGGAAAACTCCAGAACCGCGTGTGCACCCCAACGGCCCGTTTGAAGGTCCTGTCCAGTTCGGGCCACTCCCAGGACCTCGTCAGCACGCACGTATGTTCGTGAGGGCCCCGAAGTTGGTGCCTCTGCCCCCACATCCTGTCCTCCCCGCCCACCCAGACACCTGTTTACTTGGGGGACCTATGCAGAAGTGTCAACGTTTGATGAACTTGAGTTCCTTTGGAGGCAACAGGATAAATTGTTGGGTAAATATAATTTTAAAAGAAAAAAATCTCCCAACCGAGAACCTCTCCACAATAGTCGGGTAATAAAACTGTTATTCTAAAATTGTCTTTATTGATTTTAGCGAGAAAGGGAGACATCAATGATGAGTGCATAAGTGGAACAAATTGATGTTTCTCTCTTCCTCTCTCTAAAAATGATGTCAAAAAAACAAATCCTGGCTCGTTTGGAAGAGTTCTGTGACGAGGTGATCTTTTTTTTTTTTTTTTTTAATATATTTTATTGATTTTTTACAGAGAGGAAGGGAGAGAGATAGAGAGTTAGAAACATCGATGAGAGAGAAACATCGATCAGCTGCCTTCTGCACACTCCCACTGGGGATGTGCCCGAAACCAAAGTACATGCCCTTGACCGGAATCGAACCTGGAACCCTTCAGTCCGCAGGCCGATGCTCTATCCACTGAGCCAAACCGGTTTCGGCTGATCTTTTTTGTTATAGTGGTTATACATACAGTGGGGCCTTGACTTATGAGTGTCCCGACTAACGAGTTTTTCGAGTTATGAGCTGTCTCTCGGCCGATGTTTTGCTTTGAGTTGCGAGCTAAAATTCGGGTTACGAGCCAGCTTCAGATACCCCACCGCTAGTTGGCGCAGCGAACGTCACAGTGAACGCCACAACATCAGCCCAGCATCACGTGTCTCACTCATTCACTTTAACGATTTGACAAACAAGTGATTTGAGTTACGAGCTCCGTCACGGAACGAGTTTGGAACGAATTAAACTCGTAAGTCAAGGCCCCACTGTATATGCAAATCTTCAGCCGTTATGACTCTTAAGGGGTGGTGGTTCATGTGCCCACGTGTTCTGTGTAAACAGTGGTTTATGCTCGACACCTGCTCTCCCCTGGGAACTGGAATTCTGTATGTGCTGGTAGGAGTGCCGCCTAGAACCCTGGGCCCCGAGTCTCTAATGAGCTTCCCTGGCAGACATTTCCGTCTGGTGTCACTGTCCCTCAGTGGAGCTTCAATCAGCATGTCCTGTGTGACTTCCGAGGCAGGACTACTGAAAATAGGCCCTGGTCTCTGGATTCGAGTCCTCGTGCCTTTCCCCTGGGCTGTTAGCTCTGATTCTTTCTGCTGTAATAAATCATAGCATTCTATGGGCTCGGGGGGAGGGCGGGGGGAAGGAAACGTATGTAATACTTTCAACAATAAAGAACGTAAATTAAGCCCTAGTTGGTGTGGCTCAGTGGATAGAGCATGGGCCACCGGACTGAAGGGTCCCAGGTTTGGTTCCGTCAGGGCACACGCCCGGGTTGCGGGCTCGTTTCCCAGTAGGGAGAGTGCAGGAGGCAGCCAATCAGTGATTCTCATCACTGATGTTTCTATCTTCCTCTCCCTTCCTCTGAGAAATCAACAAAAATATATTTTAAAAAAATACACAGAACTGCCTATATTAATACTGGATACAGCACGCTTCAAAGGTAAGGAAATGAACAGAAGGAAAATGAGATACGACATACCGATAAAAGGGTCAGTACGCTAAGACAACACAGGGATCCTAAATATGTTTGCACCAAACAACAGAGCTTGGAAATACCTGAAGTTAAGACTGATAAAACTTAAAGAGGAACAGACAACTCTACAATTATCCTGTCGGAGTTCAATGCCCCTCTTTCATCCACTGATAGAAATACTAGACAAAAAAATCCAGCAAGGATATACAAAATCTGAATACCTCCAACAGAATTGGACAGACGTACATAGAAACACCACCCAATGACAGCAGGACATTCATTTCAAGCAGCCAAACTGAATATTCAAGAAGATAAACCATATCCTGGGTCATAAAACAGACTTTAAAAAATTTAAACAGTGAGGCCAAATGGGAAACAAACTAGAAATCAGAAACAAAAACATAGCATGAAATACTCCCAACATTAGGAAATAAAACATTATACTTCTAAATAATCCATGATCAGAGAGGAAGTCTCTAAAGGAATCAAGAAATATTTAAAACTGAACAAGTTATAATCAAAACATATTTAAAAACCTTATGGAATGAAGCTAGAACAGTGCCACGAAGGAAGTTTATGGAACAGCTGACTCAAGTAATGCAGGTTTAAAGTTCGTGGGTCCTCTCATATGCAGAAATCT